ATATAAAAATCTTTTTCAAAATAATTTTAAAAATTCTTGTTATAAATAATTAAACAACAATATATATATACATATAATAATCTTTTTTTTAGTAGGCATATCAAAGTTTTGAAGTTTTTATGTAATTAAGTTAGAGTTTAAATTAAAAAAGATAGATAATTTTTTTTATTTTATTTATTTTCTCATTCGTTTAGACTTATTTCCTTTTTTCAGTTTAAGGTTGTTTTTTTTTTAAAATTTTCTTCAACAAGTCTTCCCAGGAAATACGTGCGGTTTTTCGTCTTGTATGAACACACAGGAATATTTTTTTTTAGACAACTTGATCATGGCATATTGCAAGTTTTATTATATTGATCATTGCAGAAAAAAACAAAGTTTCAAAAACAAAAAAAGCAAAACTAAGAAAATAGGAAATAAAAGGAAATTTAAATATAAAAGAATAAAAATAAATTTATAATTTAAATAATTTCTGTACTTTTTTTATTTTCTTTAGAGTGGTTGTTATTTTCTGCAACAAAATTAAAGTCCACATTAAAAATAATAATTTTCCTATATTTTAAAGAGGAAAGCGAAAATATAAATTGCAATGTGTTTGTAAAATATGTTTGTATAACTTTAATGAATAAGTATTTTAATGTAACAAGTATATTGTCCCTATAATGAAAACGTCTTTGTAATGCAAGCGTATACTTTTCTGTATCATATAATTAAATTTGTTTCTTTAAATCTGAACACATATTGATCTTATTGGATAAGGGGTTGACTTTAAAAATGGAATGTTTGTGGTTTGAGACCCAACTTTTCCTATTTTTTTTTTGTTTTTTTACACACGCACAGAACCAAAAGTTAAAAAGAAACGTGTCTCCGCTAAAAAATTGCGGATAAAAAATATACAGGAAAAGAAAAGTAATATAAAACAATTAAAGCTAAGTGTAGATGGCATGTTAAAGCAAGTGTAGATGGGCTTATTGAAGCTTGAAAACTATGTATATATGTGTGTGCCCTTTATTTCGAAAATATATTGAAAGGCTTAAATGGTATAAGAAATCTGAATGTGATGAGATGTGTATTATTCAAAGACATACAACAAAAATATATTTTATATATAAATAAGAAAAGATAAATGGTTACAAAGCAAACATGACCAGGGGTATTTAAAAGAAAAACAATGAAAATTGAAATGTTGTAGGAAACGAACCACGACGAACCATTATACAAATATATTTTACAAACAGATGGCAATTTATATTTTTGCTTTGAAAAAAAATACAAATAAAGTATAGGAAAAATCATTCTTTTTTATATCAACTTAAAACTGTTTTTTTTTTTTTTTTTTTTTTTTTTGTTTTGACATTTTTTTGAATTAATTTTCGTTACTAAAAATAATAACCACTCTAAAGAAACAAAAACAAAAACAGTACACATTTAATTTATTAATTTATTTTTTCTTTTTCTATTTAAGTTTATTTTAACTTCTTTGTTAGTTTTACTTTCTTTGTTTTTGAAACTTTTTTTAAGCAACACTTTAATAAAATAATAAAACTTCCAAATGACCAAGTTATCTAAAAAAAAATACTCATGCATTGACATACAAGACGAAAAACTGCATGCATTTCCTGGAAACGCTTGTTATTTATAATTTTCTAATAGTTGTAATTAAAGATTTTATTAATTTTTTTTTTTTTTTTGCTTAGGTTTCTTGTGACAAGTGTGCATTTGTATCACATACATATGAGCCCTTTATGTTTCTTTCTTTACCTATTCCGTATGCTATGGAAAGAGATATAGGTAAATTTTTTTGTTAGGTATTAGTTTAGTTAACTGTCACACGTAGAAAAAAAAATTCATGACTATTAGAAAAAAGCTAGAATAAAATGTTAATTAAACGCAAAAGACTAAAGGTTGTTATCATAGGTGGTTAAGAAATGATAAGTTTTTAAAGTATTAAAAACTTGTAAAAAAAAGTGTTCATAAATTTGATTTTTCGATATTTTTTAATTTTAAATTTCTGCACCAGATTTGTAATCAAAAATAAAAAATATTTTTTAAATTAAAATTTAAAAAATTATTAATTCAATATTTTTTTTGGCTGTTTTATAATACTATTTTTATAACTTATGTTAACATTGATATTTTGATCTTTATTAAACAGATTTAATTTTATTCTTAATAATTTCTATTATTAATATTAATCTCTTTATCTATGTCTCTATATTTCTTACATTTATGTTTCAGACTGGATGAGCATGAATAATAGTAGGCAAAAAAAACGCTCAGCTCTTGTCATTTGAATTGTAGCCAGTTTTCTTTTTTTTTTTTTCAGTGTTCAGAAAGCTACCTAAATTGGCAGATGTATTACCCCCTGAACCTAGCGAATTTGCAAAATCCCACTTAATTCCTGTTCTTTTGCTAATTGACTTGTTGTATATATTCTTCTTTCCTACTTCAAGGAAATGGGTACTATTAACTGTCTTAGACCATGCATGGAATCCTTTATTCATAAGAACCACCACTTTCATGAAGTGATCAAATCCATGTAATGTACAGAGTACTTGTACAGAACTTACATTAGATCGTGTTATTGTACTTGCTGTTTGCCCATAATGCACATAATAATCTTTTCAGTTTTTAGTTAAAGGAGTGTCTTCATAAATTAAATTCCAAAAATATTTGATCCATGGTTTCAATGTCTCTAGTTATAAAGAATCCCAGTTCAACTCTACATATATCTTCACATTTTTCCTTATATAATCCACAAAGATAGCACTAGGCACCTCCAAGCTTTAATAACTATGCTCATTTGATTATTTAATTTATTTATACTTTTATGCTTTTATAGTTTGTGTTGATCTCTGCTTTTCCTAGTTTTATGAAAGCTTCTTTATCAAATATGGCTGCAAGCTTCATTTTGCATATATGGCAAGGATAAAAGCCAACTAAAGAAAAAATGTTCTTTGTTTTTTTTTTTAATAACTGATTTTACTATAAGTAGATGAATTAATATGTAAGTATATTCTCAAAGTCTTTTCCAAACGTGTGACTTTTTGAGTCTTTGTCCATGCCGTAATTATATGGTTTCATGCATCTGTTTATATTTTCTTCTTGTTCATCAGTAATTATATGTCTACTTGTCACAAAATTTATTACTACATAATTAAAAAGCTTTTGTTTCAATAATTTACTTTTACATGTATTTTTTTAAAACCTTTTTAAATAAAAGGTTTTAAAAATTTTTTAAATCTTTTATTTCAACTGCATTTTTCTATCTAGGTTTGTTAAGTATTTTTTATTCATAATCACTGTGAGCTACATCCATATTTTTATCTTTATTATCTAATTTACCACTTTTTCTATCTGGCTGATTTAATTAGAATCTGGCATAAAACACTCTTTTCAACTGATTTAAGTTTTTATGCATTTTGTTTGTTTTGCATTTACCAAACCAATTCAGGTATTTGCTTAAGTGTATTTATGTGCAGGTTGTGTGTTAAAGATGCACAACCTACACATAAATGCACACAAGGTAGAATGATACTCTACTTTTAGACTAAAATAGTTCTTTTTATTTATTCATTTTTAAAAGTATGAAATATATTTATATTTTTTGTTTGCCATTTTTTATAAAATTTATTTATATATAATAAGAAAAAAAGTTTTTTTTGCTTTATGTTTATTTTCTATATATTTTGGTTTAAATAAAAAATTAATTTAATAGTTTTGACATGGGTACCATCCACTGAACTTCTAATATTGCAAGGCAAGCCTTCTATTAAAAGGTAAATCTGCCTTAAATATATATGTATATATATATATATACATAAATATATATATATATATATATATATATATATATATATATATATATATATATATATATATATATATATATGTATATATATATATATATATATATATATAAATATACATATATATATATATATATATATATATATATATATATATATATATATATATATATATATATATATATATATATATATATATATTTTTTTTTTTTTTTTCCAAATTATTAATTCTATGCAATTGTCATTGCTTTAGATGACCATGATTTTTAAAAATATTTCTTTATATTTGATATTTTAAGTAAATTAAAGTAAGCTAGTAATTAATTTAGTAAATTTTTTTTTTATATTATTTTGAAAATAAATTTAATTATATTCAATTATTTCAAAATTATTTTTGAAATCAGCAGACTGGTTATTGAATGCATTGTTGTTTGCGCAAATGTTTAATCCATTATAGGCTCTTTGATATATGACAGACATTTTCCACATTGTCATGAGTTATTTTCACCCCTTATGCTGGTCTCTTAGTTGACTAGAGATAACAACACATATGGTAAGGACTTACATATTGCATCAGCCTACATGTTTACAAATACTAATCGTTGCACTATATCACAAGTTTTTTAATGAATTTTTAAATAAACTACTTCTGATATTTGTACCATTCCTTTTGATTAAATATTTTGATTAAATATTTCATTCCCAAACTTTTGATTAAATATTTTGATTAAATATTTCATTCCCAAACTTTTGATTAAATATTTTTATTCAATATTTCATTCCCAAACTTTTGATATTTTTGTTGTTGTTGTACATTTGTGTTTTACAGATTTTTACTGAAAAATATTCACTAAATTATTTCTTCATTTTAGTAAAGAGAAAAAAGCATTTTTTATAAAAAAAGGTATAAAAAAGAGGTAATAAAAAAAATCATTCAGAGTTAAACAAATTGTTTCTCATAATTTGTCTTCTCAGGGCTCGAATTAAGCGTATAGCGATTCGTGATCATTTTTTGATTCGGTAGTGGTGTAGTGGTAAGCGTATCGCGATTCGTGATCACGGTACACTTAATTCGTATTTTATTTGATGCGGTAGTGGTGTAGTGGTAGAGCGCTCACTTCATAAACAAGTGGTTCCGAGTTCGATCCCCACCACGTCCCCGGTAGTACTGCGCTCAACTCGTTTCTCCATGCAGCAGCCTTGTTCGTCAAGGTTTGTGTTTTGGAGTTATAGAGTTGAGAGAGAGTTATAACCACAAACAAGTAGCCTCCTTGTCTGTAGTGGCCTTCTCGGTCTTGAGGAGGTGAATTTAAAAATAAAAAAATAAAAAAAATTAGCATTTTTTTTGGCAATTCTTAAAAATGTTATTTTTTGTCCAAGTTTTTTTATTAGCGTTCTTAAAGTACATCACTCTAAATTTTTTTTTTCATAGAAACACGATCATTTGCTCTTTTGTACTGAGATTTTCATTCAGCGTAAATCACTTTTCTATTTAAATAACTTCTTTGAATGGAAATAATCTCTGCGTGGAAGCCAATAATATTTTAAAAGTTTATTAAAGCGAAAAGTTTTTAAAAGGGAAAAGACGTTAAAGCGAATTTTTTCTTCATTCTTTTTTTAAACACAACAGCCTGGTTTTTATCTTTGTTTTTAAAACGTTGCACTAAGTTAACTTATTAATAATAATTTAAATTATTGATTTATCAACAATTTCATATTATTAATTTTACTGCTTTAAGTATATTAAAATATAGATTAAATTTGTTTTTATTAAAAATATTTTGTAATAGTTTTTGAGTGCTAATAGAAACCAGTAATTTTTTTGTTTCACTTTAACAACCCTCAACCTTTTAAAGCCCCTTTTAACGACCCTCAACCTTTTACTTTGATTTACTAATTGGATAAAGTAATTCACAATAAATTTATTTATAAACTGAATCAAAACAACCAGTAAAATTACTACAGTAACTTACAGTTACTCAAATATTAATTTACTTTATATACTCACAGACTCACAAAAGTTAGTCATACAAATGTTTCTGATTATATCATATAATATAAACATGTATAACATAATATAAACTATACATTTATATAATATACATATATATAATATACATATATATAATATAAAATAATATAAACTTCTAACTAAACCTTACTTTAACAAGAAATGATTTCTAACGAATATGAAAAACGCTATATCTAAATCAAGATTAAACATTTCTATAAATACGCAAGTTGTTTTTTTTTAAGCGATATCAAGATTAAACATTTCTATAAATACCCAATAAATTTTCTTTTTAAAAGAAATTTATTTGAGCGAAAGAATTCATCTAAAAAAGTCTTCTAAAATTCTCTCATTTAAATATTTTTGAGATTAAAAATTCTCATTGAAATGTTTTTAGAAATTTAAAAAAAAAAAAAAAAAATAGGGTTCAATATTTTTAATAGCAGTGGAGTACATAATACCCTGTGGCATAGGATCATTCCTGAAAGTTAAGCATATATCTAGCTACAGTAACAATATAAATTTAGAACATAGTGCAAGAGAGGAAAAAATATTTTTTTAAATTGTAAACATTTTTATGAGTATCTTTTTTTTGTTTCTTAAAAATAGTTATTAAAGTAGAAACATTCTACTGCAAAAATTAAACCAGTAATTGTTGCAAACATAAGACCAAAAATTAAATTTCAAAAAATTTAAATAAAAATAAATTATTTTACTTATCTAAAAAGAAATTTTTTCCTAAAAAATAATTTAAGCATATACTTAAACTTAACGAAATATAAATCGATTTATTAAACCAAATTTTTTTCTAACTTTTCATTAAAACACAATTTGAACAAAAATTTTTAAATAAAAAAAAAGTCCTTTAGAAAAAGTGTTGTTGTCATTGGTCTGATGTATTGTTGCTTTGACATTTTTTTTTTTTAATTAAGCATTTCTATTTATTTTATTCTTTTTATTTTAAATGCTTTTTATGTTATTAATGTTATAAAAACTTAACTTTATAAAACAGCAACACAAACAGTGTCACTAAGTTGTTTTATATTAACACAAGCTCTTTATATTGTCAAAACTTTACAGTTTGTTTTATTGTTTTTTTATAGCTTTTTACAACAGCAATTCAATACTCCTTAAAAATAACACGTGTTTATTGTAAGCATAAACGAATTAAATAGTTTTCAACAACTAATTAAAGTGGTCTAAATCTTGTAATATTTGCATTTTTGCTTTTACTTTTTAAGTATCATGTTAAGTAAAAATAATTATTAAAAGTAATATCGTAATAGTATTAAGTACTTTACTTGCTCAGTACATCATAACATCAATGCTCATTACACAATAACTGCAAGTTAAACTTCTAAGTAAAATTAATATATATAAATAATACAAATAATATAAACAAATAAATTTGTATTTAGGCTGTAAATTAAAACAGTAAACGCTATTATAAACTCCACCAAACGAGTAAATTATAAGTTAAAACTTAAACTTGAAAGATATGTTAAAAAGATAACAATTACAAACTAATGTTGAAAAAATACAATTTTATTCTAACACTACCCTCTCCTCCCCCCGCCTCCCTCCTCCTAGGGATAGGGGGGGGAGAACTGTCTAAAAATTTTTTTTTTTTCGCAATTAGATTATTTTGCGTTAATTCAAGCCCTGCTTTTTAAGCACACAAATAATGTTACATGATAAAAAAACAAATAAAAACAACAGTAAATTGAAGTTTTGATAGTGGAGGGTAATAGGAAATGTAGTTTGTTGATATTTGTAATTTTGTTTTAGTAATAGTTTTTTGAAGATTTTATTATTCAAATATTTTGATACAGGACTTTTTGATAAAATAATTTCATCTGCAATCAATGTTAGTTTAGTTAAAATGTAATTGTTTTATAATAATTGTTTTTAGAATGTGTGACATTAAGTTCACTTACCAAGTTTGAGGGTTTATCTGAGCCAGGGTTGCGTTAAAATAAGGAAAATACTAATTTATTTAAAGGCATTTTTCTTTTTCTATTTTTTTTATTTTTTATTTTTAAGTTCAATAATAGTTCAAAATTCAGTATAAATAATTGGATTATTATTATGAAGTTTTTTAATTAACATGGTTTTATATTTCTAATTTGAAATAATATCTAAAACTAACAAATCAGAAATAATACTTCAAATGACTTAAATAAAATCTGCTATTAATAAAAATTTAATTTGAATTAATAAAAATCTGATTGTTTTTAGATACTCTGTTCTTGTAAATAAAGATGGTAGTTTAAAAGATGTAAAAGATAAGTTTTTAAAAATGTTAACAACGGATGATTCTTCCATAATCAGTCAAAATGTAGTACTTGCTCAAGTTATAAATGGTGGCAATGTCAACATACTAGTAAGTCGAAATCATTTAAATAAATTAATATTTTATCATTTTACAATTTAATCATTTTACAAAAATAGTTACTTAAATAAATCATTTAAATCAATAGTTTTTCATTAGAAATGTCTGCTGTATAAATTTCCTTATTGTTTGACTTTAAATAAAAAATTAATAAAAAATCAAAATATGTTTATTCACAAAATTGAATAAATTTTTTATAAATCTGTGTCTGTATTTGTCTTACATCTTAAAACATAATTGTTTTTTGTGAATGATTATTAATTATAATTCAAGAAGTGATTAAGTCTTCAGTTGTTTCATATAGCTTTATATATTGTAACTGGGAATTTTTTTGAAGTTATTTGAAAAAAGTTATTTGAAATTATTGCTTTTTATTTGCAGTATTAAAGTCATTATCGAAAGCAACAATCATCTTCATTACTATTTTTTAGGTTCCATTGTTCATATATTGTTTTATTACATTGGTCATATATTGTTACTTTTCTATATTATTGATTTTTCTGAAAATCTCTTGACAAAAAGCCATTATTTTAATTGTTTAGAACAGGCAGCTTGAACTAAAAACTTTAAAAAAAAACTTTTCAAAAAATTTACATTTATTTGCAAACTTAGTATCTGCTAAAGTTGCCTCTTTTTAAAGTTGCCATTTTCCTACTCTTGATTCCATCTTCTACCCCTAGGAATACCCTAAGAATCTCTCATTTGTCCCTGAATACTGTTGTCATATTTGGGCTGGTTCTTCTAATGATGCACTTCTCTCCTAGACAAAGTCTAAAAATGTATTGTAAATGTAGTTTGAACTGCCAACTACCCGAACATCAACATTTTGCACTTCTTGTTGCATAGGTCATTCCCTTGCAAAAGTAAAATCTGTATGCATGAAAAAAGAGGTAGTATTCTCTATAAGTTTATGTTTTGGTCTAGAAGAGCAACCAAATAGAAGAGCAACCAAAGCTAGTTTTAAAGGTTTTAAAAACAAATTTTGAAGGCAAAAAACCATTTGCAAATGTGTTTACATTTACTTCATAAATAATACTTGTTAAAAGATCTGTTTGCAAATGTGTAATGAAAAACTTCACTTGTAAAAAAACAAAATAAGATTATAATGGTATAAACAAAAAAATTGCATTAAAATAAATAGCATTATGACAATGACTTTGAAATTTCTAATTTGAAATAATATGTTTAACATATAACCAAACATGTTTAAAAAGTTTTATATTAATATAATTGTTCATGATATCAAGTTTTTTGCTGAATCACAACATTATATTAAAAAAAACTAAAAATATTTTTAAAATTATAAAAAACTGTGTTAATCTTTATTAACCTAATAACAGTTTTTTATTGAAGTGAAAAAGTTATTAGAATATGTTCAGGAATACTGATATAATATCATACCATCTGCTATTATAGAATAATCAATTGATTTGAAAAAACAGCATAATTACTAGTCCTATGATAGGAAATAAATAAAATATTAGAAAAATAACAAAATATTAGACTTCTACACACCTAAAACATAACTCGTCGTTTTTTTCATGCATTGAAGAAATTAATTTTTCTAAAGGTTTTTAGAACTGATTGGAAAGATACTTAATTTATTTAAACTGCTTTTATTATTGCTGTTAAATTTACTATTAATTTTACTAGTTACCAATATAGAAGTTTTCTTACAGAATTGTAACATCCCAAAAATATATTTTAAAAGAAATACTATTGAAAAAAGTATTTTACTATTTAAGTTTTTGTAAACCTCACAATACATGTTTTTAGATTTGTAAACCTCAAAATATATGTTTTAAGTTTTGTAAACCTCACAGTATAAGTTTTTAGATTTGTAAACCTTTAAGCCTAATTTAGGAAAAACATATTGCTAATTCAATATATTTTTGACTTTTTTAATTTTTTATAAAAATATGAGGAAAGATTTTTAAAAGTTTAAAATTATTTAGGATGAGCGAACACTGCTATCATATGTGAATTTTAAAAAAGACTTATATGCAATTGAAGTTGTTCAACCATCTAGTTGCACAAAATATCTTGACTGTGACAACGTAACAAATGAATCCATAGGCAAACCTGATACAAAATCAGAGGTTGCATTATCATGGCATGTATGCAGCATTTGTTTAGAAGAAGTGTTTGATGAGCATCTTACTATTCATCCTCCTTGTGGTGGAATGATTTGTTCAAGTTGTCTTGAAGTTACTGTTCAGTATTATCAAAATGAGAACTTTGCTTGTCCGGTATTTTTATTTACTTAATAAATATACTTTGATATTTTTATTCTTTTCTTTTTCTGTGTTTTATTTAAAGAAATTTAGCTGAGTTTAGAAATATATATTAATGGTAAATGATAAAAATAATTAATGGTTAATATTTAAAATGAGTTTAAAGAAATACATAGCATGTATAGAAAATAACAGACAATCAACAACTGGCCAGAATCTGCGAAACTGATATTTTGATCTTTTAAAATATACTTGATCAAGGTTGCTAATAAAACTGTATAATAATTTGAAAATTAAGTAAACAATAAAATAATATAAATAATACAAATAAAATTTTTAAGTGTTATTTAACTTTTCTCTAGATTCAATTTTTCTTTACAGAATAAAAAAAAAAACAGTTAAAGTCTTTCAAAACATCAAAAATGTTTTTGATTATGAAACACATTTTTATGAAAAACTTTGTGAAATGCCTTCTGCTATAGGTTTTATATATATTTATATTATATATATTTACACACATACACACAGCTGTGTAGCAGCTTTAATATAAGAAATTGTTATCCAAAATAGCAAAATTAAACTTCAAGTAGTTATTATTTTCATGTGCGTGCAAAACAATACATTTGATAATCTTGTGGTTTAAATCTCTGCATCCTAATCTACACAAGACCAACTGTTAAGCATCTTTCAATGGTGAATCTACACAAGACCAACTGTTAAGCATCTTTCATTGGTGAATCTACACAAGACCAGCTTTTAAGCATCTTTCATTGGTGAATCTACACGAGACCAACTTTTAAGCATCTTTCATTGGTGAATCTTTCAATGTTGTGGGTGATTTATCTGTAGTAATAGGGATGATGACAACAGAATATTTATAGTATTTTTTGAATGAAAATTAGTTTATCCATATTCTTTTTACACTGTCGTGTGTGGGGTGTATATGTGCTGTAGGACAAAGTGCTTCCTCAATAAAATGGAACAATGAATGTTTTCAGATATAAATAGGTATTAGAAGATCATCTAATGTCACTTATCAATATATGTTACACAAAAACCATTATGCAAGATGTTGCATTCTGCCATTCCACAAAAACCCTCATGGCATGATTGTGGAGTAAAAGTATTAAATCCTAGAATTATATTCCTATATCATTTTTTTTAAAAACCACAAAAATGCAACTGTATAGATTAAAATGATATTTGTTTTTTTAATAGAAGCAAACTTACAAATAGGTAGAACATGCAAGGAGTGCTGCCACATTGGCTGACAAATAGGTAGAACATGTGAGGGGTGCTGCTTCATTGACTAAATGTTTTGGTTTGGGCAAGCAATCTATCAATAAAAAAAAAAAATTAAGTTTTTATCTTTTTCTGCAAATTTGCTACTTCGATGAAAATAACTAGCTCGTCTAGTGTTATGCTGATGTAACTCTAAGTTTTTAAATAGAATGGCTTAATTTTCAAATTAGTGTAACATTGTGAATAAACCATGGTGATTTAACAACTATTCTATTTTTTACACTGATCCAAACAAGCAGTTCTAGTATATATTGATTTTTTTGCAGTTTTTCTAAGATATTAAGTTTATTATTGTTTACATCAAGAAAAATTGTAGCGAAGAATTCATAGGAGCAATAATAGTTTCAAAAAATTTTGATTTTAAAAATTTATAAAAACATATATATATATATATATATATTATATATATATATATATATATATATATATATATATATATATATATATATATATCCCAACCACCTGGATTAGTTGACCGGTTGGATAAAAATGATTTTACACTAAAAAAAAAATATTTGAAATCTATTTTTAAGGTCCCTTTTTACAAAACGCGAAACCCCAACTTTTTTAACCAAAAAGCGGCGACCTTAAACATTGACATAAAACACCAATTTTTTTTTTATGAACTCAAAAAGGCCTAAATATTAATTTGGAATTGGTTGGGAAATCTACAATAAAAAATATATATACTAATTTAGGACAAGAAAAATAGCTAAAAATGCGATAACTTAGTATAATTTTTAAGTATATTTAGATAGAATGACTAAAACTTTGATTGGTTGTTCTTCCCAAGATAAAATAATATCAATAATATCTTGCTCTGAATTAGAAATATGTCCTTAAAGCTGCATCCTTTTTGCTATAAAGAAACTGTGGATCAATGGTGGATATGACGGCAGCATATTTCATGACAAACACATCAGGTTTGCTAAATAATCTATAATTATGGTATTTTTATTTTTACCGAATTTTACTTTTGCTTATATTAATTTGTTAACATGATTCTTTTTATTCTGACTCTGATATGAGGCATTTAAAAGTTTTAAAGCAATTAGAAAAGTTAAATAAATATTATATGTTCTAGGAAACTATTAAATGATCTAGTTGAAAAATGAGCAACGTTGAAAAAAAATAATAATAAAAAAGGAAAGGCAGCAGAATTAGCTAGAAACATCTTTAAAAAAAATGTTAAAAAAGTTTTTTGGATCGGAAAACCTGATAATTGCTCCATTCAAAAAAATTCATGGAAACAACCAAGATTCATACATTTCAGATAAGCAATTTTTAAATGATCAAATCACGAAATGTAATATGACACTTGGTTTAAAAGATTTAGCATATTGCCAAAAGCTGAAAAAGATAGAAAAAAGAAAATTGCGATAATAAACTTTTATCATCAGAACAAAGTGAGGTCTCTTCTTGTCAAGATTCCGACTATTCACCAGACGAAATTAAATCAGGTACTAGTTCTTCAACACTATTACCCTAAAAAAATTGCAAAAGAAGTTGCAATTACAGGTGTTTCTAAAAATATTTCACATAGAAATATGATGCATTTGCTCTCTGACATAGTAGTTACTTCTAGTGGCAGTTTGACAGATTTCCCGCTTTCTGAATCTACTATCAGACGTGCAAAAAAGAAAGCAATAAGTCCAAGTGCGGCTAAATATCGAGAAGATATAATAAAAGCTGCAAGTCAAAGTAAATTTCCAATAATCATACACTTTGATGGAAAAATCTTGCAGGATATTACTAACAGTACAAAACAAAAAAGAGATCGTTTTGCTGTTCTTGTAAATATCGATGGTGATTTAAGACTTCTTGGCATTCCGCCGATGGAAAATGGTACTGGAAAAACTCATCATGATACTTTAATAAACATTTTGGATGAATATAAGCTAAGAACTTATATAAAGGGTCTGTGCTTTGACACAACTGCAACTAATACAGAAAAATATAGTATTCTGCACAAACATTACGTTTTGTCAAACGCAGGCTTCATTTATATTACAGCTTGCATGTTAAAGACATGTTTACGAGCTTGACTGTAAACATTTTTGGGAAAAAGTTCACATTAGTAAAACTTATGCTCCTGAAAATCTGATGTTCAAAGTTTTCCAAGCTAATTGGAATGCAATAAAGGAAACTATGGATATATCAAAATTCAAAAAGTATGACAAAGCTGCAGTTAAAGGAACGTATTTAGAAGAACAGATCAAAGAACTGTTAAATTTTGCAAGTATGCACTTGTTAATTTAGTATTTCCAAGAGGTGATTATAAAGAACTAGTAGAGCTTACACTCATCTACTTATGTCCAGATGTAAGCTTTAATGTTTATGCTCCCGGATCAGTTTCCCATGCTCGTTTTATGGCAAAGTCTATATATTATCTCAAAATTCAAGTTTTAAGTAATCAGTTGCCCTACCAATTAACAGTTTGTTTACAAAAAAAATCAATAAAATGGCAGAATTTATTTCTATATTTTATACTGTGTGGTTTGTGTGTTCCTCTTTAGTTTCCTCTGCACCTTATCAAGATTTAAATGGGTACTGGCAGATGGTCCAGTATAAATGTTGGGTAGAATCTTATGATGCAGGAGCTAATGATGTACTAGAGGAAATTGAAGAAGTATTGAAATCAATGGAGAGACATACGTGGTATTTGGATCAAACCAAATACCACGTTTGAGAACTCAAAGATGATGAGAAAGAAAAAGTTGCAAAAGTTCTTTTCTTGCAACCTGTTCCTACTCACTATGAAAAGTCTGAAAATCCAATCTTTCTGAAAGATCTAGACTTTACCCATGTGAAACCACCTAGCTTGTCACAGTTGGTTGGTAGGAGCTCGTGGTTTATTTTCAGTCTCTTAAATTTGAGTAAAAACGATCCAGGTGGTTGGAATTTAGTTTGAAAAAATATTTGAAAATGACACACCCTAATATATATATATATAATATATATATTTTTTATATATATAGTATATATTTATATACATATATATATATATAATATATTATATATATATATATATATATATATATATATATATATACATATATACATACATATATATACATACATATATATATATATATATTATATATATATATATATATATATATATATATATATATATATATATATATATATATATATATATATATATATAGTATATATTTATATACATATATATAAGTATACAATATACATATATTTCTATTGAAGTTTTTTGTTTATAATAGATATGTAATCATCAGATAGTATCAAATGACTATAAGCAATTTGTGGAACCTGGTTCTAATGATGCTATAAATAGGTACTGGGCTTTGATAAATTTTGATTTATATAACATTATAATTATATAATATTATATAAATTATATAATAAATATATACAAACTCAGTTTGTATATATTTATTATATAATTTATGTAATATTATATAATTTATATAATATTTTTGTATATATTATTATTTAGAATTTCTTTTTTGTTATTTATATATATCTTTATGCATGTATTCATTGTTTAGAAAGGTTCTGGTGCCTGTTCTATTTCGCCGAAAATTAGATAATATGAAGGTAAACAAATGTTTTGAAAAAAATTTATGTTTGATACTACTTCCAACTTGTTTATAATAAAGTATATTTTTGAGTGTCACTTGTATTCTACCATTTACATCTAACTCATTCTAAATATAACAACTTATTCTATGACATGATTAGCATATGATACGGTTTTTATTTTATAAATTGATTTTCTGTACTTTAAATTTTCTTCAGCTTGAGCTTTTTGGGCATCCAACAATATTTAGCTTGTATTCACAGACTGACTCAAACTTTATTGGGAATCTGGTACAAAGTGTTGTTCTCTCTTTGAATTCCTCCAGTAATTTTGATATTGTGATCACAGATGCTGCTGTAAATATATTAGTTGTATTTTGTCTCATTTTGAATTGTAATCATCCGTAACTGTATGTATCCGTAAGGTATACATCTGTATCTGTATATATATGTATAATAAGTACCGCTATAAAGTGCTCAATACAGAGTAGAGCAAATTATATTATGTTAAATTGTTTAATAACACCTAGTTATTAAAGAAACATGACTCTGAGTTTCACTCCTAAGGCAGTCAACAAATAAATAATTTTTATAATTAAATTTTATTACCAGGTGTTAATTTTTAATTTTACAATGTATATATATATATATATATATATATATATATATATATATATATATATATATATATATATATATATATATATATATATATATATATATATATATATATATATATATATTAGGGTGGGTCATAAAATTTTTTTATAGAGTTGCTAACCTGGCTATGGTCTAGAAAGTTGTTTTTTTATGTACTAATTTAGGAAAGTGTTTACTTTTATGGATTGAACAATGTCTTCCACCCATAACTATAATTACAAAAAATAGCAAGCCCTATTATTATTCAAAAAAAAAGTTTTTCAAAATTGTGTAATGTAGGTACTCAAATAAAGCGAAATTTTAAAAAAAATTTCAAAAATAATAATTTTTTCATATAAAAATTATTATTTTAGATTTTATTGCAAAATAACTATAGTTTTTTAACTAAAAGTGAAAAAGGTACATTTTTACATATATATATATATATAATATATATATATATATATATATATATATATATATATATATATATATATATATATATATATATATATATATATATATATATATATATTTATATATATATTTATATATATACACAGACAGACCTTGTTTTAAATAAAAAACGGCTTGGCACATTTGTTTGTCATGTTTTTGACGTCATAAAGTTATCTTTATTTTTTTATTTTATTTAAGGACATTAATTTTTATAACTACCGCAATAAAATGAATTACTGCAAAACAAGTTTGTTTTATTAATTAAGAAAAACAAATCTAGAAGTGTTGTTTTCTAGATGTATATATTGTGAAATGTCTGTTCTGTTTCATATTTTTTTTGTTTTTATTTTTTAATATTAAATAATTAAATTTAAAATAACATTTTTTATAATGAAATTTAACATGAATTAAATTCTTAATTTTCTCAAATTTTCTATAAATAAATTACAGGGTTATTCATTCTTATATGCCCGTCTATTCATTTTTATATGCGTGTTTATTCATTCTTATATGCGACTTTATTCATTCTTATATGCGCATTTATTCATTCTTATATGTGCATTTATTCATTCTTATATGCGTTTTTAAAAAAGCAATTTGAACTAAAAATATCATTTAAGCAAATTATTTTTTCAAAACAACTTTTTCTTATTTCCTGGTAATCGGGGTTAAAAATTACTCAAGGCGAAGACTTTTGACATTGGATGATGGTTTATTTAATTTAGTATTAGGTCTTTGTTTAGTTTTATTATTAAATTTATTGATTGATTAAATTATTATTTAGGTAAATAATCATTTATCTAGATTTAAACTTTATTATTTATAATTATTAAATAAATTCAGCGCTGGCTTGGCAACCATTTTTTAAATAAATTGCAGTGGCAACAACCTTATAATATATTTTAAGTATATCTATATAAAAACATAAAAGCCAATTTATTGTTTATATAAAATTATAATTAGAGATTTTATGGGTGGTTGACTCACATATAAACGCCCATACAAGAATGAATAAACACGCATATAAGAATGAATAAATGCGCATATAATAATGAATAAATGCGCATATAAAAATGAATAAATGCATATATGAGAATGAATAAAGGCGCATATAAGAATGAATTAACACGCATATAAAAATAAATAGATGGGCATATAAGAATGAATTAACACGCATATAAAAATAAATAGATGCGCATATAAGAATGAATAACCCTGTAAAATATTTTAATTTTTTTTTTTGATTTTATTTAAAACTGCAACCTTTGCAAATAATGATTTTTTACTTAAAAAAATTATTGACAAACAAAAAATATTACTTGTTGCAAAGAAAAAAAACTCAAGCTAATTACAAGTACCATTTATCAAAAAATATAATCTGTTGTGCTTACGCTTGCCTTAAAGCAAAAAAATTAAATGTATGCTTTATAAATATTTTTGAGCTTTGGCTAAAACAACAACGTTAGTTTTTCTCGTTATGCATTCATTATTTATTTGTAATCAAAAAAACTTGGTTCAAACCTTTTTTTTAACATTATCTTTTATATAAACACAACATGTGTTGGAAGTTTGGGATCCCTTTAAAGGTGTTACCTAATACACCGTAAGAAAAAAGCTTATGGAGAAGACCAACATGCCATACTTTATCAAAAGCTTTAGAAATGTCAAGAGTGATAGCCTTAACATCTCCACCTCTATCTAACACATAATAGAACCTATTGGTTATTACTGCTAGCAAATCAGCTGTAGCACGAAAAGATTGAAATCAATATTGATAATCAGAAATTAAGTTATTAGATTCAAAATGAGAGATTAAGTGTTTGTTAATTAAAGATTTGAAAACCTTGCTTATGATAGGAAGAAGACTACTGGGACGGTAGTTAGATGAGTCAGATCGCTCTCCAGAATTTTTGAAAATAGTGATAACAGATATCCCTTTCTAGCATGGCGGAAAACAAGACTGATAAACACTTGTTAAATAGTTTTGATGGATGACTGCTCCGGAGAACACTTCTGCAAGACTACATCAGGTGTGTTGACTAGGGCAATTTGGTGCAAGACTACATCAAGAGTCTAAGCACCAAATTGCCCTTATTATTGATACTGTTAATGATTATCCAGAAGTCAGGAGAGCCTAATTTTTGTGATAAAATACGAGATTTGATGACCTGAAAATAGTGGGCTTGGCCTTAAACAAAACCTTTTTACAATGGTTTCTAGCAATAGTAAACAGACATCTGTTTTCTGAAGAATTGCTATGCTGATAAATATGGTAGTAACGGTTTTCAATTGGAAATTGCAGCAGCGCAATGTAAGAAAAACCATGGAGAAGAGTGAGGCTTGACATGGAATTGTTGAGAGGGAATAAAAAATTCCATGCTAGCCTGAATCCATGAAGTTATATATTGGCCACATTTGTCAGCAGGAAGACAAAAGGTTTCTACCTAAGGGCCATCATGAAGAAATTCATGGAAAAAGTCCTAGTCAGCTTTAAGGTAGTTGTAAAAGGTACGATGCTAAGGGGATTCTAATGATAAAGAAGAATGAGATAATAGTTTTAGAGAGATCAAACCATGATCAGGAGCACCTAAGGGTGAATGTGGAGATTGAGGTTGATTGAAAGCCAGTTGGCTTTCAGTCAACCTGACTATTTGAGTTAGAGATTGAGAAAGTCAAAAGTTGTGGGCTTTAATGCAAGCAAAGTCATTGATACTGAGCCAAGTCATTGAGTGTGATGAGCATTAAAGTCACCAACAACAATGATATTGGCTGATAGAAGGAGAGCTTGGTCAATTTAATCACAAATAGTGCAAAGAGTGCAGTTTTGAGATAAAGGAGAGCGATATAGAACAAATAGAAGCGATAGAGTGAAGTGGTGCTAAACAAAAGCACATAAAAGAATAGTCGGGGGATTCAAACCGTGTTTCACTACAAATGGTTGAATTCTTGTAATGTAATGTAAATGACCAGCCTAAGCATGTGACTATTGGAGTCTTTACGAATTAAAGGAAGATAACCAACAACACTAAGATCACAAGATGAGACAGCTGAACTCAAACTAGTCTCAGAAATAGTAAGTAGGTTTGATAAACTTTGCAAGAGATAAGAGCTACTTTAAATACCATGAGTATTAGTGAATGATAGGTTAAGAGAACATGGTGATGATGATGGTTTTTTGTGTTTTATAGTTTTTGGTACTTAAGTCATTCTAAATTTTTTAAAGAACTTGACTCAAAGTATAGATGGCACTCAGTAAACTATTTAATAGTCCAAGCAATTGCCTCCTTACTAATAATAACCCTAAGCTTTAACAAAGGGCTCCAAATATGGTCTCAACAATGCACACCAAAAATACGAACAGGACACCATCTATGCGCAACATGGCACTGTTAGTACTCATTTTATATAGATGTTTTTCAGCTGTTAATGGAATCAGCCTCTCTAAGAGCTGCCACAGAGTTTGGGAAACCCAACTACCAGCAAACCTCAGAACCGTTAAACTGAGTTTTTGAGCTGTTCCCTCATTAGGAGATAATAGAATGAGTTGCCTAGTCATAAAAACAGAGACCCATGGATGAGTCAAAAACCCATGCATTCAAGAAGATCCAGCGTTCAACATCCTAAACTGGAAACAATGTATTATAAATACATCTGTTTACCCCTTAAGTCTTTGCTTAAGAGGCCTTCTACAAGACAGTAGCCAGATGTGTTTAACATCTGCCCAAGATGAGTATTTTTATTGAGATACCATCTCTAGCCTTTACTCAAACAAGAGCCTCAAAGCAAGGGGGTTTTAGATTAGAGTTTGCTTCTCTTAGCCTTTGCTTAAAATAGCATATCTTACAAGACAGCCGGACATGAAGCAGGTTGTACTGGGTTTCATGTTACCAATAGTAGAATAACCTGACTTAATAGTAATCGGTAATGTTGCCAGTAATTTTGTACTGGGTTACATGTTACCAGTAGCAGGATAACCTGACCTGACAGTAATATTTAAAAATTATATAAAGTTGCCTGATTGAAATGACTTACATTAAATCTCTTATGTTAAACCTCTTACGATAAATGGCTTAGTGCGTATGTAAATGGTGCACAAATTATACATATACATGCCTTGTTTTATACAAGGCGTGTATATATACAGATGTGTATATATATGTATATTTATATATATGCAGGGCTTGAAACAGACACTGGACATCGGACATTGTCCAGCACTTGTCCGGTAAAAAAACTACATGTCCGGTAAAAAAACTATCAGTTATTTTGTCCAACCCATATTTTGTGTGCATATTTTATAATCATTTTAGCTGTTCCAAAATTATTAATAAATTCAGTAGTGTATTTAAACTTCAACTTTTTTGAACTTTTTATTTTTTGTACAAAACTGAAAATAAAGTTGAACAGATTGCTACATTAATAAAATTTGTCTTTTTTTTTGAGCTAATTTCTTTAAAAGATACCTAAGCATTACATGTTTTTGAATTATGCAGCCCAGTTTTTATAATTTATATTAAAGTGTTGCAATTAATTATTTAAAATTTATATTTTAGTATTTGTTTTATTTTTTGTTGGATGATTTTTAGAAATTTTAAACTTTTGATTTTGAAAATCCTTTTAAATTTATTTTATAAATACTTTAACTGTAACGTTTTTTTTAATGAAAAAAAAACAGTATTTTTAATTACACTACTTTATTAAATTTTGTTTGTTGTAAAGAATCATTAGAATTAATTTGTTACTTTGTTTAACAAAGTAGTAAGTAGGCATAATTATTTATGTATTTAATATATTTATAATAATTTAGAAAGCATTTCGCATAGTATAGTATTTAAAATATATATATATATATATATATATATATATATATATATATATACATATATATATATATATATATATATATATATATATATATATATATATATATATATATATATATATATATATATATATATATATATATATATATATTTTCCTTTTCAAATTTTTATTTTTTGAGCTTAGATTTTTTCTTTTTCTTTAAGATTTTCTTTTTTTTTTTTTTTAATAAGTTTGTCAAAATAAACTGTTGTGCTCAAGTTGAAAAAACAAAATGTTTTAAGCATGGTCAGTAATGGTATTTGATCGAATTTTATTAAGTTTTATCAAACATATCCGCCAAACTTGAGTATTTATTGGACAATTTGTCAGGAACAAAAAATTTCTTATTTATATATTATTATTATTTCTTATTTATATATTATTATATATATATATATATATATATATATATATATATATATATATATATATATATATATATATATGTATATATATATGTATATATATATATATATATATATGTATATATATATGTATATATATATATATATATATATATATATATATATATATATATATATATATATATATATATATATATATATATATATATATATATATATATATATAGCATACAAAATAACCGGTGATCAATCATCAATGACCGCCCGAAATGTTTAAAATTGCAGGTTTAACCTCCCAAAATAAATTGTTGTCGGTCAACCATTCGACCAGTTAAAATAAAGCCAGAAGTTAGGTTTCTCATATAGTGGAATGTTTTTGACCAGCTGAAGCAGAACCTAACAAATCTCAGAAGTTTTCTCTGAAAATTAAAAAAATTGAATTAAAGAAAACTCATGAATAGAAGAATGAAAGTTTGAAAAAAATTGAATTAAAGAAAACTCATGAAAAGAAGAATGAAAGTTTGAAAAAAATTGAATTAAAGAAAACTCATGAAAAGAAGAATGAAAGTCTTTTTGTCAATTTTTAAAATAAGTAAAGATTTAAAAAGGCATTTAAAAAGTGCAGGCAACATTTCCAGTGGTTGTTTTGCTTGCTCTTCCATTGCTTGCTTGCTCTTCTATTTCCAATTGTCTTGCTTATATCCAATGCGAACAAAAGCCTCAAAAGGTTGAATTGTAAAGTGCAAAATGCTAGTACAATATTTCAAGGAACCCTCTTTAGGTGTGGAGCTACCAGATGAATTAGTTATTTGCCAGGAAGTTGGAGATTGCAAACTGGACAGAGGTTTTCCAAAAGATTTAAATCTGTTTCATCCAACATTATGAAGAGTGGCTTGAAACTGATGGTTAACTAGAAAAACAAGATTTCTTTATGTATACTCTTTTTCTTTTGTTTTGGAAATACTCAACAAAGTTTGCATAAATATTTCTCAAGCAAGGATTTTTAATGACGCTTTGGTTTATATTATCCCAAGATTTTCTAGGTTGAATTTTTTTCTTGCAAGCATGTGATTTCTGATGGTAATCTGCAGTTTCTGTTTCGATCCAAATCCAAAGAAGCCTACAGGATCTAGTACTGTTAAGAGATTTGTTGCTGTAAAAGATTTTAGAGTTGTGGTGTTTCTCAACAACTTGTAGTAGAACCATTTGGCTGACTAAGTAGATGCTTCCATCTGGAATATTACCAGTTGTGTCTTTTTGTATCAATTCGGAAAAGGTTTCACATCCATCGAAACTAAATTTTTATTAAATTCTTTTTTGAAAAATATAAAAGAAAGTTCTTTTTTTTCTATGCTGGATATAATAGAAATTTAGTTTTTTAATAAATGCATATCTTATGTTTTAAATATAGTTACCTCTATAAGTTTCTTGCTTATCTGATCTTCAACATCTTTGGTCAAGCTCAGTTTTAACAATATAAAATTTTCAAGAACTCTTAGCATGCTTTGTTTTTTCAATTAAATGAACTCTGCTTTGCAAAGTATTATCATTGTATCTCACATAAAAATCACAAAACAGTTATTTTCAAGATGAACCAATAGTTGCGTTATAAACTCAATGCTTTTAAAAAGGTAAAGCTATTGCAAAAATGTTTTTAGTTAGATAAGACTAATTGATTGGTTTATTAAATAAAAAACCAGTTTTTTATAAAAATGCCATTATATTAAAAAAAATTTATAATATTTTGTCATAAATCTTTTTCATAGTCAATGGTATGTCTTCCTATTAAAGCTATTATTTAAAATTCAATTTGCATGAATTTTAAATAATAATTTTAGTAGAAAATTCAATGCACAGTTGAATATACTGCTAAAAAAAATTGTAGTTGTATAAACACTTTTATTGTGGAATCTTTGATTATTGTAATGATTTTTGACAGAAGTCAAAAATCATTGCTGTATTGATTTTTAAACTTCTTTTACATTCTATTACAGTAAGAGATGATAATATGTTTTTTATTAGCAGTTAAAACTTTTATAACTCTTTGCTTGTCAAACTTTTTATCAAATGAGTAAAATTGTTAATAAGTAAATGGATAGCTAGTGTCAAAATGCTTGTCTAGAGAATTTTTCAACAGCGCATTAAACAGTACTGGTTATGAATATATTCTTGTAACATTAACGTTACAATAATATATTCTTACAAACGCCATTTTCTGCTTTCCAGTCAAAAAATGAGGCACATCTTTTTCTTAGATATATAAATAGTTTTTCTTAGATATAAAAATAGACACAATTCTATTTTTTTTACTATGGAACAAGAAGTAAATTCAAAAATATCTTTTTTAGACATAACTCTACACAAAACTATTTCTTCAGTTACCACTACTGTTTTTTATAAAAAAACCTATTTTGGTCTTCACACTAATTTTTATAGTTTCACTCCATTTTCGTACAGAGTTAGTCTAATCTAATGCTTAATCGATAGAACATTTAAAATTAATAGTACTAAACTTGGATTTCACTCTGATATAAACAACCTCTTTAAAGTATGTCAAAGAAACATCTACCCATCTTGGCTCATTTCAGAAAAATATAACTCTTATTTAAACAAGACTAATTCAAATCCTCCACCACAACCAAAATCAAAGATTCTTTGTTTTATTTTAAAATGCCATTTTTGGGAAAAATATTTGATTCAACGTAAAAAAAAGACTGAATTCAATTGCTAAAAGATATTGCAGTTCAGCAAATATTAAATTAGTATTTAAATTATATTAAATTATTACCTCACTGAAAGTTTTAAAATTATTTTCTTCTTAAGATCCTATTCCTCAAGAGTTTAAATCGTTCGTGGTGTATAAATTCGTATGTGCAGGATGTAACTCCTGTTATATAGGTGAAACTACTCACCATCTCAAGACCTGGGTATCTGAACATTACAAGAGGGACAAAAAGTCTCACATCTATAAACATCTCCATGCTAATGAAAATTGTTTCATGCAAATAAATGACAAATGTTTTTCTGTGTTAGATTCGGCATCTATATATATATATATATATATATATATATATATATATATATATATATATATATATATATATATATATATATATATATATATGTATATATATATATATATATATGTATATATATATATATATATATATATATATATATATATATATATATATATATATATATATATATATATATATATATATATATATATATATATATATATATATATATATATATATATATACAGGCCTTCTCGTAAGAGGCGTTTGATCGGACGTTTTATATGACCACACATATAGCTCTTTGTTTTAACAACTTGACTTGACTTTTAACAACTTGTTCTTTGCAAGTTTCGATAATTAGCGCGTTTAAAAAATGCGCTAAAAGAAAACAAAGCAAATGTAAATTGTCAAAACTTGCAATGAGCCGTGGTCAAGTTGTTAAAACAAAGAACTATATGCGTGGTCATATAAGGTGTGCTATCGCACGCCTCTTACAAGAAGGCCTGATATATATATATATATATATATATATATATATATATATATATATATATATATATAGTTTTTATATAGCTTATTCATTGTTTTTATAATAGAATGTTTTTATGAAAGAAAATCTTTAATACACACACAAAGATTATCATTATAAACCTATTGTGTGGTGTAAAGTTTGGGTTCTGCGAGTTTGGAGCTAAATGTAGTTATTTTTTAGGGTATTCGGTGTGGGTTGTGTGAACAAAGAGATACATGTACTGGTTGTTTAATTAGTGATTCTGTGAAGCTGAAACCTGGAAACTGCTTAACTATTCATTTTAATCACGAAAATATAGATCAGGTTTGATTCTTATAAAATAGGCATTATTATTTACAACATCTATTTTATTATTTAAAATATTTTGTTTAGTTTAAATTTTTTTTCTCTTTGTTATAGATTGTTCAAATGGATAAATCAATGAGTCAACGTCGTAATTTAAATTTTGTAACATTAGATGATTGTGTTGCAAAATTTTCAGAAATGTATTTTTGTTAATATTTTTAGTCTTGTACTATTTAAGTAACTACAACAACATTTAAGTTGCAAATTTTTTTAAAAAAGCATTTACAATATTTATACAGTGGTGTATACATGGTCGTCCGGTGACACAGGATGACTTGTTTTCTCCATGTGCAACTGAAATTTTTTTAAAATGTCTGTTACTAGCCCGGCAGGATGACCAGACAGTTTGTTACTTGTAATAGTGTGTTTATTAATAAAACTATATTTTAATTCAAAAAAAAAAGCATCTATAAAAATACAGTGGGTATTCAAATAATATTTAAAACTTATTAAGGAACTTAAACAACTTTATAAAACCTACTGTATAAAAAGTTTAGCATTATGAAAAACGGACTATTTTTATAATGCCAAACTTTTTATAAAGTTGTTTAAGTATTTGTAAAAGTTCCTAAAGTTTTTAATAATATTTGAGTATCCACTTTATATTTTCTAGATGCTTATCTACATTTATTAAAGTTTGGAATTACTAATGTTGTTTGAAAAAAGAATGAACTTTAAAAGCAATAAGTTTATAGAAGTAAAAACACTATTATAGTTTTAATACTTTTATAATGCAGTTAATGACTAGAGCGTTATTACTTTTGTTACTTTTGCAGTGTTGTTAATGATAAGAGTGTACTTTTGCAGTTATAGCTTTTTCCCAAACAAACTTATATAATTTATATATTATAATTTATATAATTTGCTCCTTAAAAACAAAGTGCACAGCTTTGCATAAACTAAAATTTTAAAAATATTACTTTCACCCGAGAAAAAATACAAAAAAAACGTTTACACCGGACTACTGATTATCATAGCAAACAACTCGAATGAGAAACAAAAACTGTTTTAGTTGCCCGCAGGACGACTGGGAAAAAACCGGAGGGTACACCACTGTTATATATACTCAACATTTGGTGACCAACATTTTCTTTTTATGTTTTAATTAGCTTTGGCACTGTGTTCTCTTAACTAAAAAGTATAAAATCTTATTTAGTATCATTTTTTTGTAATTTTAGAGAATACTTGACTTGTGATTGTGCATGGTACTGTCCACAATGTAAATGCAACCAACCTGCAGCAAAAAGAATGACTGTCTCTAGATGGCCAATTGTTCTCATAGTACATCTTAAAAGGTAGTTTAAAATAAAATTTCAATTTTTTTTAGTGTTTAGAAATATATATGTTTTTATTTACTTATTTACTAATTGAATTTACCTTTTTAGATTTCATTATAAAGATGGTAAAGGATGCAAGCTTCAATCTCTTATAGACTTTCCTTTATCTAAATTCATGCCCAGTGTATTGTGTACTAATAAGACTGAGCAGAGTTCATGTCCTGAATATGAACTTTATGCGTGTATTTGTCATTCTGGAAGTAGGTGTTTTGAAAACTAGATAGTAAAAGATATTTAGAAAGCAAGTAATAAAACAAATTATTGTTAACTTAGAGATATATGTTTAGCTTTAAATAATAGTTGACAGACATGCTGTTAAACAGTGTTGTTTTAATATTAGCTTTAAATGAAGGTCATTATACATCTTTTGCAAAACATGAAGATAAATGGTATTATTTTAATGATGACATTTACACCCAGGTATTTAAAGTTAATAATAGTTTTAATGAAAAATTTTATTAAATTAATGAAAAATAAGCATTATTGATGGTATAATATTATGATTATTAATATTTGAAAAATAAAATGTTATGGCTCATAATGCATTTTTTCAAGAACAGTTTACAATAAATCCGGTGCATCCAATTTTATAATTGTATTTATTTACAGCTTGAGCCCAGCGAAAGTAACAGAGATGGTGTTTATGTATTGTTCTACAAGAAAGCAGGTAGTTTTAGTTTATATGTGTGTGTGTAAATATATATATATATATATATATATATATATAATATATATATATATATATATATATATATATATATATATATATATATATTCATTTCATTTTCATTTCTTGATTTTTGAATTTTTGAATTTTTTTCCCCATCAAAAAATTTTGTAAGGACAAAAACAAGTAATAATCAGAGGGTGCTATGTCCGGAGAATATGGTGGGTGAATATGGATGTGCATATGACAACTCGATCGTCCAAAATTTTCTGACTTAATTCATGTGGCACCCATCTTGAATACTTCCACACTAATCCCATCTTCCGAATATGGTCAGAAATGGTTTGCTGAGCTGAATTAAGCCTTCCTGCGATCTCCGATGTTGTCAAAAAAGGATCTTGCTCCAACATTGCCTTAACAACATCCTCGTCAATCAAAGATGGTCGCCCAGAACGTGGCTTATCAGAAAGGTCGAAATTACCTGTTTCAAATTTTTCATACCATCTTCTGCATGTCCTATCAGAAAATGTACCTTCCCCAAACACTTTCAATAAATTTTTACATGCTTCTGTAGCATTTCTTCCTTGTTGAAATTCGTATAAGATACAGTGGCATAAATGAACTTTACCAGTCGCCATGGATATACTATCGTTTCACACTTAAGACTAATGTGAATCAACTTCATTATAGTTTATTTGCTACGTCAGTAAGTATACATTAAGCGATAAAAATATAGAGCCGAACATACAATAAATAAACATGTGCTTACATGGCGAAAATGATGTCATAGCTTCGGACAGATCTTTCTGGTAGACCTAAATTTTTACCTTTCCAGTAGACATAAATAAATAAATAAATATATATATATATATATTTATTTATTTTATATATATATATTTATATATATATATATATATATATATATATATATATATATATATATATATATATATATATATATATATATATATATATATATATATATATATATATATATATATATATATATAAAGAGGGGGAAGCAAGAGCTTCCCCCTCTTGCCCACACTCCCTTAAAACAGTTTATGGGAGCAATTTACAGCTCTCGCAAAAAAAATTTTCTTCTCAAAAGTATATTTATCATTGTAACTAAAATGAAAAACTCAAAGTCAAAAAAATTTTAATTAGATAATAAACAGGCATGGTTTTGTCAAAAAAAAAATTTTATGCGTAAAGAATATTTTCATGGCGCAATAAATGATGTTTGTTATGTGTTTATTAACGTTACAAACTTATGCTTGTAACAAGTATAAAACCAAATTTTGTATTTAATAAGAAACTTTTATATAAACAAACAGATAGCTTGTGCAAAAGCTATAAGCTATTGTAAAAAACTATTTAGAGGAGCAGCTCGCATGGCTTGCCATGTTCATTTTAGGAGAGCTTTTCTCCACTATCGTGCTCATTTACTCCTGCAGAGGCCTATATATATATATATATATATATATATATATATATATATATATATATATATATATATATATATATATATATATATATATATATAGAAAGAGAGAGAGAGAGAGAGAGAGAAAGAGAGAGAGAGAGAGAAAGCGAAAGCGCATTAATAAACCAGACCAAAAAAATTTTTCAGTTGATGTAGCAGCACTTCATTGTGAGTCAGGCTATTTGTCAGTCGATGTAGCAGCACTCTGTTGCGAATCAGGCTATAAGATAGTTGATGTGGCAACACTCCGCGCATGTTTTTAAAATATATTTTAATAAAACAACAACAAAAACACCATTAATTAAAAAACCTTTCTAGTCAACAGTATTGTGGTTTTTTTAAAAAACAATGAAATTTAATGTACTTCCACATTAATTTAATTGCTTTGACATTTCGGTGACAATAAAATGTAGCTTAATTGTTGAGGTAGCAAAATTGTAATTGAAAAAGACTTTTTTGTACATTAAGCATCCCTTTCAACTACACTATAAGGATATATATATATATTTTTTTTATATATATATAAATTATTAGTGTATTCTACAAATAGAGTGTTCTTAATAGTATGTTCTTGAACAACAGAGCAATAATAATGTCCAAACATCAAAAAGTTCAAATTATAGCAAATATATGTCACATGAATTGTTATAATTAGTTATGTAATAACTGTAGTTATTTTGCCAACAGGAAGTTGCATCAACTACATTCAAATTGAAAAATTAATCATGAACAGAATTCTTTAAAATAGGATAATTTTGGTCTGGTCATTTTAAATGCTGACATCTTCAATAGATTTTATTTGTATAAATATTTTGAAGTAAAACTTTTTTTTAAAAAATATATTTATTATTATGATTTTTCAATAGAATATTGATACCTCGTTATCATGTATATTAAAAACCTTTATGAAAAATAAAACTGCTATATTATACAAAACTGTTCAAGTTTACAAAACATTGTTCTTTGTTTCAAGAGCTTCTTTTTAAAGGTTTTTTAAGAAATTTTTATGTGACTTAAGAATTTGAACATGGGTTTCCGAAATGACATCATCACATAATCGCCATCATCCTGGTTAAGACCATGGTCGGGAAAAGTACTTTTGTTGTGTTGTATTTCTAACGCTTTCCTAACTTTCCTATTAAAACTATTTATTTCTATTTTTAAGGTATTTCGACCATTCCAGTGGATTTTTCCTTGGCAAATTTTGGAATGTTCAGCTATAGCTGAATTTTCACCATTTACCTAGTTGTGCACTTGTTTGATGCTGGCATATCTGAGACAATATCTTCAGTCCAGTTTCACCTGCATAACTTTTGCCACAAGAGCACTCTAGTTTGTAAACACAGGGATAGGAATTAACTGGTAGTGTAGGTTTATTTTAGAACTAAGACTTTGGAGATATTTTGGAAACTTAAATAACAGATTCCAGGGATCCAGGGTAAAGATAAAATCTTTTTGGAGACATTAGGATATGTTGATTTTTCGTGAGATCTTTTTTGTTGTTAACACTTTCTTTCCTATTTTTAACTAAAACATCAAGGTAGTTTAATGTATTGGTTAAGATGGCAGATTCCATTATGTATTGAATACTTTTGTGTTGCTTGTTAAGTTGATCTAAAAACTTTTGCGCATCTTCTTCTACCTGGAACTTTGAATTAATATCATCGACATATCTTTTAAATGATTTCACATGGATGCTATTGTTAAACGCCAATAAAAGAGCATTACTTTCGTGATATTGTAAAAAACACTCAGCAAATACCACCATAATAGCTAACCCAATTGGTCCAGAGTTTTCAAGCTCATGAATATCATTTTCATATAAAAAATAGCAATGAGAATGACAAAGTTCTAAAAGTGATCTGATCTCTTCAAAAGTTAATTTAGGTATAAAGCTCTGGTTGTTTCTTCATTTTTCAACTAGTATAATGATTGCTTCATTAATCAGGACCAAAAGAAACAACATCAAAGGAGACCAGAACCTCATTCTAATCAATTTCCCATAATCTTGCTATATCCACAAATTGTTGAGAATTTTTAAAACGCATTTTATTTAAGTTTAGAGTGAGTTGTACTATATTGACTAAATATTTAGAGATGTTATATGTTGGTGTACCAATGGTGCTTACAATTAACCTCATTGGGTAACCTTTTTCAGGCTTATGGGCTTTAATTACTCTGTATAAACGTGGTGGAACAGCATAACTCGGGTAGTTATTTTTGTATTCTTTTTTGGTAAAATGCTCTAGTTTGTTTAACTTTGAAGAATTTGAGTAGTTGGGTAATTTTTTTGTATTTCCTAAGTGCTCTTTAATTTTTTTATAGAGCACTATTTTAAAAAAATCTTAAATCTTATATATACATATATATATATATATATATATATATATATATAAATATATATATATATATATATATATATATATATATATATATATATATATATATATATATATATATATATATATATATATACAACTCTCGGAATTAGGGTCAGCATTTGGCAATGCTTGTCTGACTGCCGACTGTTTGAGGTCGGCAAATAATTGCCGACCTCATTTCTATGTTTTATGGTGAAATATATTCGTTTCTATGTTTTATGGTGAAATATATCTTTTATTTTGGAAATACCCATGTGCACTATAAATTTTAGAAAAAAAGAAAAAGCACTTAATGAACAAAATTTATTGCTGCCCTAACCTAATCCTTTGGTCAATATAACACTCCACATGTTCTACCTAGTCTGCCTAATATTACATTGTTAGTAATATTGCATGCAGATTTATTTTTAGTTTTTAATTTATTTTTATTAATGCTCAAAACATTTTTTATTATAAATAACTTTTTCTGATTTTTTTTCCTTTAGGTTTTAACTGAAAGAATAAAGGAATACTATTTCATAATTAAAAATATAATGCAAAATATTGAAAACATTTTACAGAATTTTGACGAATGAAAGTTTGTCTTTTCAATTTTTTTTATCCAGCTATGTTTCATATTTCACTTGTCTGTAAAAAAAATAAAGTTTTTTTGTGTTTTTAATTTCAATTGAGAAAATGTGAAGTTATTGTAGTTATATAATTTTTTGTTAATGGATATTTTTTAACGAATTTTTGCTTATGAAATGTAAAAATGTATATATTTTAAATCATCAAAAAAAGAAGTATTTTTTTTAAATCAAATGTTTAAGTTATTTGAGGCAAAGTGAATTTTTCTCTTGTGTATATAGTATTTATACTCACATTTTTGTTTAGTTTTTTCTTTTCTTTGTCATTATCAACATAAATTTATTGAATAGCTGCAGTGTAAATAATATGACTGGAGTATTTTAAAGATGTAATCAAACAAGTATACTATAAACAAAAATAAAAAATTAACAAAATTAAAAAATAAAATTCATTTCATTCATTTTTAAACTTCAGAACCAATAATCGTAATCAAACAATTTAACAATATATTTTATTTGTTATTTATTCAA